GAAAACGCATAAAAAGGAGAGCCTGAAGAGCTGCAAACCTAAGTACTCGACCTACATCTCTGCACCCACTAATTCCTAACACTTCTACTATATTCTAGGTAATCCCACATTTTACTTTACCTCCCGCCCTCACTTACTAACTTAACTCCTTCTGCCTCCTTTTCCGCCCGTTAATTTACCCTTTAAAAAACCCCTTCAAAAACCTTGAGGGTCGGAGTTTCGAAACCAAGGCGCGACACGCCTTGGTACGACTAACGCTACAATTGGTCGCCTCGATACAAATAACGTTCTCCGTCCATTGCATAGTTTATGCGATGCTCCGGGCTCATTTCATTGAAATGAAGCTTTTGTTAGTAAATAAAGCACTGACACTCTTCACTGTCTTCCGCTGCTGCAGTCAAAGACAACGCTGGGACCTAACATGGGGACTGAACCGGCTTTGGCTCAGTAATTACGCAGCGAGGCAAAGAAGAGAAGAAATAAAGTCTTCATCATGAGTCGTCCGACTAGCGAAAAGAGCCAGGAGAGCCTTGAAGCAGCAATGAGCAAGTTCGGCATTAAATGCTGCATACCTGCACCAAATATTGCAAAAATGGAGGTCGGACTATCAGCTGCTGCAACAGTTCGGCCGTGCTTCGGTGGCCGACTTTGTATCAGCAAGTTGCCGACAGAACACACCAAGCAGTGGAAGCCAACGCACCAGTAACACGCTTTCTAGCTCGACTGGTACATGATGCAATAGTTGGCAATCATTCTTGACATGCATCAGTTTCGATAGCTTTCCTCATACAATAACTTCGAAATATATATGTCGCTGGCACATGAGCCTTACTGGATTCTTTACATATTGTGAAGTTAAAGATACAAAAGCTGGTTTTCTGTCTGTGATCCGCACAAAGTCAAATACTGTGAATGCAAAATTTCAACTGCCTGGCTTTACCAGGACAGGAACATGCGTACACAAGCGTAGTTTCTCATTAGTAGGAGGTTCAGTTCTCCCATACACAGAAAATTTGTGAAAATGAATTGAATTTAAAAAAAAAAGATTTGGTTTTAATTCCAGATATGCGCGGGACGCTGGTGTACCATTGGTTGTGGCAATCAACAAGATTGACAAAATAAATGCGAATCCTGTAAGCTTTCCATCACTTCTTGGATTACGCTACATTTCGCTACATTTTGGATACGCTACATTTCTAGTTTTCGTTCATGTGCATTTGTTACTTTATAGGTTCGAGCCAAACATTCACTAATAGAAC